TCTATCTATCTATCTATCTATCTATCTGTCTGTCTGTCTGTCTATCTATCTATCTCACTCTCTCTGCTGTTTTTTTACACTTTCTTTCTTTGGCTCACCTTCTTCTCTTGCCCTCTTTTCTGACTGAGTTGGATTTTTTTTTACGTAATCATTCATTTATTTTAAATACCACCGTTATGAAGATTGCCAAAATTATTTATTTAAATTGACAGAGGAACTACTTTTGAATTTATATCAAGGATAATTCTATAGTCATTATTATTATTATATAAAAATAGAGAAAAAGTATCAAAAAATGGTTTAAAAAAGCCGGGTGTGGTCAGCTCTGCAGGAAGATGTTTCTTTCCTCTATCCATGACTCTGTTGTTTTGATGAAACTATGAGGTGTGATCAGCCTTTTTTCGAAGCCGTTTGTCACAGCGGTGTATCTGACGATCGCAGAAGATGTGGAGGAAGGACAACGAGTCCACATTTTCCAGTCGTCTCAGAATGTTGTGCTTTCTAAGGACTGCATGGGGACCAGAAAAAAAAAATGAATTCCACGAGATTTTCGTCACACTAAGGGATTATATAATGTTATAATATATGTTATGACATTATATGTTATAATATATATTATAATATACATATAAATATATATATATATAAATATAAATATATACATACACATGAAGAGATCACTTTTATTTGTGGATAATACAGGGAAAAAAGATTTGGTAAATAAAGTCCTTAGTCATGTTTGCACACATCTGGTTTGATTAGAAAATTAAAACTGTTGGGTTCTCCTGTCTTTTTTTCCACTCATGGAGTTTTTTTGTGACTGCGTAACGGTAGTTTCATCGGATGAGCTGCGGAGCATGTGTGACACATAGAGAGAACCGTGGAAGAACCGTAAATGTCTATCTGCCGTTTTCTCCAGCAGATCCCTTGAATGAATGGTATCTGATTCACCTGTTTGTAGATGGTGTGGCCTGTTTTGTGTAAGACACGCAACAAAGAGAAGATATTTTAATTGAGCAATATGACACTGGATTTACTAATAATTTCGTAATTCTTGGACATCTTGAAGTACTAACAGATATGAATGTATTCAGTAATGCATAATGAAAAATAAACCCGAAGATGATTGACAATAAAGAGACAAACTAATGACGCAGTCTCTAAACTATAATTGACAAACGTTTTTAATGATGACAGTAGACAGGCAGAATGATGAAAATCATCTAATGCTCCACTTGATTTGTTTTTACCATTCATGTCTTCAGTTGTCAAGCCTGCCATTCGAATGTCAGTCTAGACGTCAGTTAGATGCTTGCCTTAAACAAGACCAAAATGATCAATCGTGATGCTTGTCAAGATGACAATAATGTAAAATGACTGTATTAAAAATCCTCATAAGTAAAACATGCTGGTGCATCACCGTATCAGAATTAGCTAAAGTCAGGAAAAGAATGTCATAATGCCCAAAAATCTAGAGGGTCTAGGACAGGAAGTCGAGGGAATGTTTTGTGACCATGTTACAAACTCAGACACCCATCCATGATCATAACCAACAGATGGCACTACAATGTCTTTTGAAATGTTTATGATAGGAGCTCTGAATACTGTCTGTAGGAGGAGCTCTTCTGTTTGTGTGGATTTCTCCTCAATCAGCTGAAAACCAGCACATGCAGTTATTAATGCACTCACACTATAGCAAATCAGTAGAATTGACTTTTCTCTCCAGATCTGTTTAATAATGCGTGGCATTTGCAGTCTAACTCAAGGCCTCGTGTTCATCTGGACACCTCCAACTCAACTAAAATAAGTTTTCTTTACTTTTTCTTTCATTCGGTTGAACTTGTCATACAAATGTTTTATGCATGGAGGACAGAAAATGACACCTGAGAACACTAACATATAATGAAAACTAAAATATAAATCTAAAATACAAGAAATACATGTCTATAGATCAATGAATTTGCATTGTTTATCTGATAAACATTCAGAAGTTTTTATATTTTTGTACAATCTCCTTCAATTTGGTCAGAAATCACCATCAGCCACTAAAACATAGTTTGGTTGTGTTAACAGTGTGACTTGATAAATCTATCATTTAAACACTGATGAGAATACACTGAGACTACAGGCTTGCTGTGATGACAAAATAACTGTATTTTGAATATTACACAGGCCTATTAAATGCAGTTGTTTTGCATTTCTGGAGTTGCTAGGCCTTTTAAAGGTTAGAGCAAATGATTTTTAAAATCCCAGTCAACCATGAGAATGGCAACTTCACCAAACAAATTGCCCTGACCAGAGATTGTGTAGCCATATACTGAACTCATAGCAGATGAAATATGGAAAAAGGACATTCAGGGCTAAGGTTGGCATCGTTATTACCAGTTTTTAAAAGCTTTTGTGGATATCTGACAGTGATGACAATAGGGACACAGTTAAGAAACCGTATTAAAGATATTTATAAAAAACATAAAATAGAATTCTTTAAAATACACACAATATATTATCATTCAAAATTTTGAGAGTACTATGAAAAGTTTTGTTTTTAAAAGATTTTGTTACTTTCATTCACCAAGGAAGCAATCTGAGTGGGCACCTTGATATCCATTTGACGTCAAATATTAGTCAAGACTTGATCAAGATGCTGTAACATCATTTTAAATTCAGTTTGGACGGCAATTTCTTCCAGTGGTAATAATCCCACACTGAAATTGGTTTAATGTATATGTTGGCCAATATGTTTGATTCAATTAACATCAAATCAATGTCACATCAAGTAGTTGACGTCAGTTTGATTTGCATATTTGACCTGTTTTTTGACATCAATTTTGATGTCAATTTGATGTCTTTTCACCATCACTTGCCCACTGGGGTGACTTGAAAATATACAGTATAATGAGACAATAATATAAGATGTATAATGTTACAAATGACTATTTCTATTTAAATAAATGTTGTTCTTCAAACGTTCTGCTCCTCCATGTGCAGTAGTGACACTTACAGACCTCATGCTTTCTAGAGTCTTTCCTTCACACAGCGAAGATGCAGCTGAGCACCAGAAGCATCTGTTTCTCGAATGAACGGTTCTGATGTGCTCCTTCTCTTGCTGTTGTGCACCTGGGCCGTCCACTTCTCTTTCTGTGCTGGTTAGATCCAGTTTGCACTCTTCTTTAAAGACAATAGTGCTCTGAGACAAGAGTCAATAGACTAGTCTCTTTCAAAAAAGAGCAATACACTGATGGGTTTAAAGGGGTCATATGACGTTGCTAAAAAGAACATTATTTGGTGTAATGCAATGTGTTTATGCGGTTTAAGGTTAAAAAACACATTATTTTCCATATAATGTACATTATTGTTTCTCATCTATGCCCCACCTTTCTGAAACGCGTAAATTTTTACAAAGCTCATCGTTCTGAAAAGCGAGGTGTGCTCTGATTGGCCAGCTATCCAGTGCATTGTGATTGGCTGAATACCTCAAGCGTGTGATGGAAATGTTACGCCCCTTACCATATTGTGATGCCATCTCCCAGCAGGACGAGACTCAGTCCAGCTGCTCTGCTCGTGCCCAT